AGGCGTGTAGATGGGCAGGCAAAAGCGGTTCGCAAACGGGCGAAAGGGGGTGGGAATTGCTGACGATTTAACGAGTGGCCGGGCAGAGCTTCATCCATCTGTCCCCCCACTCATATATATAGTATAATGGGGGGTATATAGAATGTGCATTCCGGGAATCTGTAAGCGGCCACTGACAAAGTAGAGCATTCCATTGAAACGCTAACAAACACGATTGTTCGCATATACCGCAAGCCTTAAGCTCCTTGGCTTTAACTTCCGAAGTAAATGCAAATTATCTTGGATTTTCGTGGTCTCATTAGGGAAACAATAAGTTGAAATACATGATTGCATAGATAGATTGCATAATTGGAACGACAAGTTATGTACATAGAGTGTTGAAACAATTCATTTATGTATTCTTCCTTTATTTCATATTTTTGATTTGTCTTTACCTTTGAATTAAACACATGTTATGGATTAAATAAGATATTAAACAAATATTTTATCTTTGAAAATAATGTGAGCACACTAATTTAATAACACAATAAGTGATAATTTCAAATAATAGTAAGATATACTGCTTTTGTATTCTGAAACACGGAAAATATTTTTAATTTTAACGAACAACAGAATTTGTATTTCTTTGAGCTTTAAATAGGTTCGATTGTTTTATTTTAAACCAGTCAAATACCAAAGCTGAAATGCAGTGATAGTCTTCAAACTCTTATATTTGAAGTCTCTTTTTTACCCATTTTTCAAAGGGAAAACTCTTTTCTTTGACTGTGAAAATGAGACTGAGGGACACTTTAACCTTTCCGCTTTCTAGCCTGCTTTTATTTTTTTTCGGCTGGCCAATGCCTAATTCTTCGGGAGGCGGGAACTCAAATAAAAATCACCCGCAGCACTCTTTGTCGGCCACATTCATTAATGTCAACAGCAGTCGCCTCGCCTAGGACTCACTGTACACTGTAAGCACATAATGTGCCACAAAACGCATAAAATACATACAGACAGTGGCAGACGGACACATACAGATGTCTGACACTGTAGTCATCGTCTGAATTCTGTAGTCTGCCCGCTGTTTTATATAACGATTACGATAATGAAGCGTCGCCGTTTCCACTGAGCGCAGCATTTTTGTACACAAAATGAGCCAAATGAATGGCCCGGCTTTTGGGCGGTTCGTTGGGTGGGCGTGGCGGATGGGTTTTGTTTTAAGGGGGGTGGCAGTGGCGGTACAGCATCAACGTCTGTCGTTGATGGCTTTTTGAAGTTCTCCGTGCTGGCAGGCGGCGCAATGATTGGGGATTATGACGAATTAATGAATTCAGATTTAAATAAAATTACGCGCGCCTGCTTGTTAGTGCCACACACATACATTTGCGTTCAATATAATAGCACTTTGGCTTCTTTTAATTATTTAAGTTAGTGAATTATCTCATGATTTTTAAGCCATCAGCATAGCATCCAGCTCAATGACTTAAAATAGTTATTTTAAGTGCAACCGCTTGTTATGTAAAAGTTGATTATAAAATCAACCCTTTTTAAAACCCATAAGCATCACTGATCGAAATAACTTTAGAATCTGGAATTAAGTAAAGTTCAATAGTTAAAATATAATTATAATTATATATACCAAAGCTAATGAAATGGAATCAATTAAATTAGGAATGCAAAAATGCATTGAATATTTTAAAGAATTATGTAACCAAATAAGTTGCAAAATACTGTCATTTTACGGATTGCTATTATTTCAACGGCAGCTGTAAACAAAATTATATACATGTCGAGCACCACACCGCATTTTTGTTGCTGTTCATTTAACGTTTGCTAATAGAATTAAAGTTTGCGGTTACCCGATGAGCAAAGAGAAGCGGAAATTGGGAAAATCGGGAAATCGGAAAACGGGGCGGCATAATGAGCTAGCCACCGATCCAGGGGCAGTGTAATTATGACAGCTATCGGTGGGGCATGGGGCCATTTGGCCATTTGGCCATCGATGGGCGGACATTAACAACAGGCCGCAATTCCAGCGCAGTGTTCGCTTTTCCAGCTTTGCCCGCTTAATTAACAACAACAATTGCAATTGTAGTGCCCCGCCTGCCACGCCCCCATCGGTAGTGCTGCGGCCCACCGCCCCCTTATCCTTGCAGCACCTGAGCTGGCAATTTTTGTGTCATTTGGCGCGTGTAACCTTCGCCGTTCGTTTGCATTGTGTTGTGGCATTGTTGTTGATTGTTAATTGAAAAACAATGTTGTAGCTGGTTTCATCGGCGGCTGCACTTCAAGAGCTGCGAATTGCGAGGCGCGAACAACAGCAACATTACACAGGAAAAATGCAATATTAAAATACAATAACATTAAATTAAAAAGCATAATCCCCTTACATTTAATATTGTATTTTTAAGGGGGGAATTTTAAATCACTACTTCAGCTATGTGTATATACTAAGGTAAGATGTAAAGCCACTAAAATAAATCTCTAAACATATTCACTTAGCATAAAAAAGGTTAAAGTAAAAGTATCGTATCCATAATAAGTCAAAAGGTGTCCACCATTGATTTCATTCATTTGGAAGTTAACCAATTGATTTCGAAACTAACCAATATTAAATCCCATTTTTTTCTGTGCTGCTACTGAAGCTGTAAAGTGTTCCAACAATGGGTGGTGGGCGTAAAACTGCGGCGCAAGCTTAATTAATTTTTATAAGGCCGCCTTCGCTGGCATCGTGGCTGCATTTTAATTACAGTGCACAGGAGTTGCGAGTTGCCTTAAGCGCATTGATTAAGTTTAATCAATGGCCCATAAGCAGGCAGTCAAGCAGGAGGAGATGGGCCAGGGGGGTTGTACAAGGGGCGGGAAAATGGTATTCGGGGTCAGCTTGCTGCTCATTAAAGGCCGCATCGCAACTTTGACAAGAAATGTGCAATTAGCAGTTGAGCGAGCGAGCGCGCAGCAGGGCTGATGGCAAAGTTGTCACATTATAATATTGAATGGCAGACAAGACGCCCTTGGGACACGGCCAAAGGAGTCAAAGAAGCCAAAGGAAATCAGGTGCCATACCAAGCAATCCGATTTATGGCACAAAATAAGCAGATTATTTAAAAATCATTTTAAATTGTCATTTAGGTATTATTTCAACAGTCCAATGATTTACCTTTATTTATGCTATAAATATGGTAAATTTCAATAATGCGCTGAACTTAATAAGTTTGTTGGCTAATTGGCTGATGTTTTATTAAATGGATGTATTTAAAAAAGTTTAAAGCCGACGACTTTAGTCAACACAAAAACCAAAATTGCTTTATTAAAATCAGGTTTAATTGACAGAAAATCAAATTTAAATAAAATTCAAATACACATTTAATTAATTTTAGTCGAAACTAGAGCAATTAAAATTTCGATGTTTTCACTTACTAAATTTCCATCTGTATAATATAATTACAAACGTTGAAATAATTTAGAACAATTAAAGACAAGTCATTTATAGTCATTGGTTTTCTGATTTGCGCTTTCAAAAACCTTTCAAGTTCCTAAATATTTAAATTATAATTATATAAAAATTTTAAAATTTTAAATTATTTTTTGCTATTTAATTTGTTACAATATAAAATAGTCTTATTTAAACTCAACTCAACGAAATAAAACACACATTTCAAACACATATTAATAATAAGCAATCGTATCTGTTAGATTGATTGCCATTGCAAATGCCATTAACGACAACAAAGATATGCGGCATATTCCAATTAAACAGTTTCAATAAGTACCTTAATTAAGGCACAGTAAAATATTATGAAAATAAATAGCTCATGCTGTTGTCCGAATACCAAATTTGTTTGATATCTGTCATTTATCATGCATGCCTCAATTTAACAAGTGGACAATTCCCGTTGACCAATGCAATTGAGCCTCAATCTGATTGTGATGGCCAATTTGGCAGCACATTCGGTGCATTCATTGGCTGCGTCAATTAAAATATCAAATGACAGTCAGTCATTTGGTCATTAAGCCAGTCAGTCAGTCTATCAGTCTATCAGTCTATCAGTCTGTCAGTTGGGCAGTTCATCATTCCCCCGTGTCCAGTTAGCGGGTCTGTAATGAGCCAGTCAGCCAGTGGAAAGTCAGCGCAGTTAGTTAGTTAGTTAGTGCGCTGGTTTGACAGTCAACTATCATTATAAGTTCTTTTGCGCCATAATGGGTAAAAGTTTTGCGCCCTCTTCAAAGCGGTGGGCGTTCGAAGGGGTATATTAGTGGGTGGTTACTTGCCTCGTTGGGTCACTACTTTCACACAATGTGTATGATGGTGTGTGTGTATGATGGTGTGTGTGTATGATGGTGTGTGTGTGTGTGTGTGCTGGCCATTGTGCGCACTCACTTTGCAATTAGCAGCAGTTTTGTCTGCTGCGAACATTTATTCAGGCCATTAATTGAGTTGATCGCACCGAGGAGGCAAACTTCGAATGCTTATGCACCAACTGAAACAAAGAAGCGAACAAGTGCAGCAAAGTCGCGGGAAATGGGTCGGGAAATGAAATATGGCCACTTCTTAGCCAGGAAAAGCACAAGAAGCGATTCAAAGTCTTACCAACTACTAGATTTTATATAAACATGTCATTACAACGTCTGGGCTTAAAACCAACATCTTTTCTCTTCTCGGAGATGTTATTTTTTTAAGTCTTATGATTATTGTATTACAAAAAAAAAGACAATCTAATTTTCAAGTTATCAGAAGAATATGAAATCTTTAAGCTGTTTTAAAATAAATATTTGAAAACAATAGGTAGTACATGACCATATTGTATGTGTTGTCTCCAAATGATTTTTAATAAAAAATTAATTAAAATTTATTAAAAAAGCTTTAAGTTATTCAAAGAAATTTAACCAAGAATATAATAAAATTTGTTGAATAAAAATAGTCCTATAAAAAATCTACCTAATATATAATGAAGTTAATTTAACTTTAACATGTACATATATCTAACGAACGCCTTTTTCTTCCACTTGACTATTTGCAGATCGAGGATGCCATGTTGATGTTTGATAAGCAGACCAATCGGCACAGAGGTGAGTTTTCCCAATCACAAGCGTTATCGCCATAGGTATTGCAATCTCTGGTGGTGCGCAACAGTGCCACAAAACATTTGCTAGCCCGTTTCCGGACTTTAACGAGAGCGGAAGTGCGAGAGCTTAGCAAATGCACACACTCTTTAGCTTCAACACAATGCCAATGTATCATGCATGGCAGGATGCTCATAAGCAAAGGGCTAATACAGTTTTAAAACGTTGTCGGGGCATTAAAATTGCTGCGCAGCAGGATGTAGAAGGACCCGAAAAGATTACCTGCCAATGCAACCGGATATGAGGGCCATAAGAGACGGGCCATCCTCTTAGCTGTGGGTGGTGGCCAGGTTCACAGGTGGCAGGTGGGTGGTGCTGGCCAGCGAGGTCAGCAGCTGAGGTGCGCTGGACGGCAGAAGGCTTAAATCTCCAGTGTACATCCGCTACACGAACTTGTAGCGCACGACTGCGTCCATTGCGTTTGCCCATCTGTCCGTCTGTCCGTCAGTCTGTCAGTCCGTCCGGCATTCGACCGGTTGTCAGAATGTCCGGCTTGCGCTGCACTGCTAAAAAATGAGGTCGTGATATAACGAAAATCCTAAAAGCCGGAAAAGAATTTAGGAGCTGCCAAAGCAGCAGGAGTTGCACTTTCAAGTTGATAATGAAACATTTTGAGTAAATAATTAATAAGCTTAATAAGTAAACATGTTTAATAAAATGATCCACTTATACAACTGGATAATTGGATATATTTTACAAGCATATCTAAACATGTTTCTGAGGCTTCTTTTAAACTTAACTAAAACGCAACGATATAAAATATCGCAGCTTAAGCAACACCATTAAATTTGTACCATCCTGAACTCAAAGGCTTACTTTAGGTGAATTTTTTTGTGATTTCTGCCACAGTGCGTGTCCATTTCGAGTCCTGTTGTGTCGCCCGATGCCTTGTCGTTGTCAATTTTGCTTATTAAAGTTTTAAATGACGCCCCGAATTTCGCATTGCGACCGGGTCTCGAATCCCATTGACATGTCCCTCTGGCAGGAGAGAGGGTCGTCCTATCGGGGATCCGACTTCAACCTGAGACAAGGCGCATTAAGATTGATGTGCCCAATTTTGCGCAAACCAAAAACACACTCACTGAGGTGCGCCACATCCATCCGCAGAGGTCCTTGCCACTGGCTCAAAAGTAATTAGCTCACACGGACGCGGGCAGCGGCATGCATCAATAGTTGTGGGTGCACAATCATTCCGCCACTTGCCCGGCACCACCACCACCACCCCCTTGAATGACCCACCCCCGCACCACCGGACATTGTTAACTTTTGCGCCCTTCAAATTACGCACTCGGGAATAAGAAAACATGATTTTTGCTTGTGCGCGGCCCATAAAAAATTGTAGCATACTTCTGTGCGCCGCATCGCAGATAAGCGCACAAAAAGAAGAGTGGGCTGCGAAAAAAGGGAAAATGGGGCGGCGGTGGGCGGAGGGGCTACAGAGATAGAGCCGTGGGCCCACAGAACATTTCGCTTAATTGGACGCTGGAGTACGCTGAAACTGCATGATGATGCAGTCATACATACTGTACACACAAAAAAAAAAAGGAAGGCATAAAAGCGGACAGGCAGCGACGTCGGCAGCCAATAAAAACAAATATGAGGCATTTTAAAAATAATGTGAAGGACGTCCAGGCATCACATCAAAGATTTAGGCACTCGGGGACCAAGCAGAACATAATGAGCAATATAAATGAGTTTCACGAATTTTTAACGAATTTCCTGTTTGCCTTTTTTTTGTTGGTTACTTTTCGACTTTTCCAATTAAAAATGCATTGCTGGGGATTTTTACTTTGGTCAAAACTCATACTTATCTTGGGTATTCAAAATTCAAATAGTATATAACTACATTAAGTACCAAATAAAAATTTTAATATGAGTTAACAAATAAATGCACATTTTTAAGCAAACAAAATAATTTAATAAAATAGACAGTTAAATTATATAACTAGTGTTTCAAAGTACCCTTGGGCTTTAAAAGTAAACGTAGGTTAATTTTACAAAACTAAGGGATAAAAGTACGAGAATCAAAAGTTCATTGAGTTAAATGGTTTAAGCCATTATGTTTGGCCCTGGGAAGCCACTTGAAGAAAATTTCCACAAATTACCTGCTTTGCCTGCCTTTGTGATTTGCCAATTTTCCAATTAAAAATGCATTGGGTGGACAGTTTAGCCACTGACACGACCCATTGGCTGAGCAATTCATTTTGGCCGGGACATGTCAGCCTTGCAAATTACAATTGCGTGCATCGATCGCCGGATGAAATATGCAGGCGTTGTTGTTGTCCTTCATACCGCTGTGGCGAGCGGTGGAACTGCCAACTGCCCAACTTCACAGGCGACCAGCCAGCAGCCACCAGCGGCCAAGTCAATAGAAAATGTGTGTCGTTAATCAAAGGGTATTAGTTGTAGCAGGAGCCTTCATTGCCACTCGGGGTGGAGAATGGGAAGTGGATAGTGATGGGTGGGTGAGGGGGTGGGGTGCCAGGACGAGGACGAGGACGAGCACACCGATGGCGACTTTTTGTACAGTCGGACGATGTACGATGTACGATGTACGACCTTATTGCCATGAGGAGTCGGAGTCCGTTGCCTACTGGCACTTGCGATATGCCTGTAATTGCATTTTATCGATCCGATCCGAGAGCCCCCTATATATGGCAATTGCCACGTACACACACACACACACACACACGCCAACTATAATAAAGAAGGGGCAAGAGGAAAAAAAAAGAAAAAAAAAAGAAAAAGAAAAGTGGAAAAGACGTCGTTGGTTGCTCCGGCTACACGGCAGCAAGTTTGTTACTCATTCATAAATCATGTGTGCAGCCCAGCGACACACACACACACAGACACAAACACACCATCCGACCAGCGGACATATAGACAGATAGACAAATAGACAGACATTCCAACATGGTGGCACAAAACACCCAAACTGAAACACACACACAAACACACACACACTCCACTTGTACATCCGTAAGCCTGGTCACTAAAAATTGCAGCGGCGTTTTCCAGCTAACAAGAGCGGTGGCAGTTGGCCCAGAACTACAACCGTTTCATATGGGTAAAAAGTAACAAGATATGGGAAGCGATATATGAATATGCCATAAAACAATATAGGCAGGCCCAAACAGCAATAACAACCACGGGAATGACAACAAAAACGCGAGCGAGGGCAATTGCAATTACAGTGGAGATGCGCCAAGGGGAACTGGAGCACAGTAGTACCTCATTTCTAAGGTTTAATTGAAATAATTAGCCATTTCCTAATGCCCCTTCGCAAAAAGTGTAATTCACACTGCTTGAGTCTTACATTTGTTGTGAAGCTGAAGTTACTATTACTATTATTAGAACCATTACCTTATTTTTATCAAATAAAATTTGCAAATTAAGAAAGTATATTATATTTAACATTCAGTTTTCATTAGCGTTAACTATTTGAGCGCAGTTTCAATCTAAAAATGTTATTTTAACAACTAAGAAAATACCTCAAAAAAAGAATAAAAACGAAGCTAGCTGCCATAATTTAAAGCCTTTATTAAATTTCCCCCTTAGGCAATCTCTCCTGTGCAAAAATAGAGTTCACAACACAGCCGAGCTGCGACCCAAACTATGCTATGAATTTCATTTGGCAAGCCAAGGACATGCCCAACGTGCGCCTAAGCAGCCCGTTGTGGGTGGATGGGTGTTAGTTTTGGCTGGGTGGCAGTGGGTGTGCAGAGTGCAGAGGATCGGCAACTTTTGGGGGCCGGCTTGGCAGTTGGCGTCGCCAGCCGCCACTAATATTAAAATTGAAAATTTTGTAATTTTTCTTTTTGGCAAGCCGGCGCAGCGCAGTCATAACAGCAGCTGGCTTTTGGGTCCTTCCCTTCCCTACACTACCCTACCCCAAACCCAAGGCACCCCCTGCTCCAACCCTCCTGCCCACCTAGAGCATATATCTGTGTCCGCTTCTTGGCAATAACATGCATGAGTGTGCAATTTGTGCAGTTGCCAAGACCATCGTCAGCTCCAATCGCTCCAGCGCTTCGTCCTGCGGGAAATTTTCGACAGGTAAAAATGGCGGCCGGGCTCAAAACTCCGACTCAGATGCCTGAAAGCCGTAAGCCTCAAGCCACGGAATTAACTGGGCAAAGAGCATTGCCTCATTCCTCATGCTACCCGGCCGCATTTGTATCCAGCAGATACATTTTTGATTGAGTTACGTGTGGAGCGTAGAACGTGGAGCACACCAAAAGTAGCCGGCTTCATTTGTTCCACGGCTGATTTATGAAGTAGCAACGGAATAGAAGAGGCCCCGAAAATGGCTAAGGGACACAGAGAAAAATAAAGGTCTTTAATGACTCTTTCAAATAAATTATTATTTGGCAAAAAATCATTAAACTATAAGAGCAGTCAAACAATTGTTATTTAGAATCACTATTTTATGAAATGTTAATAAGCCAGTTTTCCAGTTTATTTTGAAAATAAAAACGAAATTGAATCTATTTTTTATTTGATATCATACAGCTATGATATACACTATGATACAACTAGTTAACCAGAGGATATCTAGTTGCAACATTTTCGCTTTGCCGTGAAGCCTTACGTGCAACGTTGCAACGTGCGCTAATTTTATATAATTAAAGCAAATACAAACACACTTCAGGACGCTGAGGAAACAGCCCGTACGTTGTCTTAAGAAAAGGACCTCGGAGCTTCCGCTACCGCTCGGCACATGTCACTAATAAGCCTGCGTGTTTACTGTTACTTGTTTCAACTAATTTCTCAGTTACGCCCAGCTCGGCCACGCCCCCGCCCGCACGAGAGTGCAAACACACGTACACAAACAACATGCGGGCACCAGGGCATCAGGTGTCTGCACTTGGCCTTGCTAATTGCACAGAGAGAGCCCTCCTTTTTCGGCCATGTGAAATCTCAGACAATTGCGCTAATTGAAAAGTCCCGATAAGACCGAAGTGCTGAAATCGGAGGAAGAAAATCGGAGCAGAAAGCAAGAAAGCGAAGCATTAAGCGGATAGCGAAGGCACGGAGAAAGCCTGAAAGAGAATTTTATAGAACTCAATCTGATGGGAAGTTGCTTCTTAACTTCAACTACATTCAGGGAGTGTTTTCAACGGTTTTGAAAGTACAATTTTAATTAAGCCATTTCTTTACCAATTAAAGTTTATATCGAATACGCAAATAACAAATAAAAATGTATTTTAACCTATAAAACTCATATAACAGTTAACACTGTGTAAAGAGGCAAATTTAAGTTTGCATTTCCGAAATTAAAGATTTAGCCGTAAGAAAACACAAAAACTATCGTGAAACCCACTCCATTCGAAACTTCTTAATAAAAAGAAATTCAAGCAACTTAACTTTTCCGCCAGCACAAATTGCAGCGGCAACAAATGGAAGAAATTTAATTAAGCTATAATAAATCCTTTCCCAATTCGGACCGAAAAACCCCCCGAATGACTTGACATTCCAGGAATTTAAGTTCTTCTTCGTCAGCCTCCAATTGGAAGATATCAAAAATAGCTTCACTGGCCAACCATTAGGACAAACTTATTATGCCCGATCCCAGAGGGGGCCAACAAGGGGGGGGTAGCGTTGGGCTAAGGGGGCGGGGCCCTGAGCTGTGTCCGCTAGCAAAGTTTATTATGTAAACTCGGAGCGGCCAGTGTTTGAATTACTCGCCCAGCCGCCACTTGAGGCCCTGCAGGGGATGCATATTGAGGTCAGCCAGAGGACAGCTATCCTGGGCCCAAAATGGCAGTAGTGGAGAGGGTTTTCGGGGGGTGGAGGGGGGAGGTCAAGGGGTGAGCACCGCCTCTGTCTCGGTCTCGACACTTGAGTAAATTATTTAGCCGCTCGCTCACACAAAAGCATATTTCGTTCAATTTTTGTGCAGCCCTTAAACTTTTTTGCCCACTCTCACTCAGCAACTCACTCACTTCGTTTCGCTTCCTTTCTCTTGCAGGTTTTGGCTTCGTTACATTTCAAAGCGAAGATGTGGTAGACAAAGTTTGCGAAATTCATTTCCACGAGATAAACAACAAAATGGTAAGTGAAGCGTGGCGGTCTGAATCGCAGCCCTAGAGGCAATGCCTGCTAGTCCTCAGCTTTTAGTTTTTATTTGGCCATACCGAGAAAAATACTGCCCTAAATTGGACATCAATTTGAGATTTTATTGTAGCGAAATTGTGTGAAAAATTCTGAAAAACATGAAAGAAGTATTTATAATGCAGCTTGAGTCTCAATATAAAAATGATGGAACTCTAAATAAACAATGTCAGTCTTCTAACGAATATGCCTTTATAATAACTAAAATTATTGACACAATTAAGTCTTTTAAACTAAAAATAATATTGATATAGACTTTAAATTTGTGTTTTCAACATCAAAATTCAAAATTTTTCTCTAATGTAGAAGAGTTTTTCAGAAATAAATGTTCAATGTTCAAATTATTTATGGCAAAAAGGCAAAAACAAAAATTATAACAAGAGATAAATCAAGGAATAATAAGACTTTTTCATTACTTATTTATTTTTTAAGCCCCGGTAATTTTGTCTAATAATTTAATCTTGATTAATCGGCTGAAAGCAAATGAGATACTAAAATTATCCCGAAGCAATGTAGACAGTCAGATTTGCATTGCAATAGCAACCAAGCAACTTTTCAAAAATATTTAAAACTCAAACCAAATTTGATATATGCTTCTTGTGTCCTTTCAGGTCGAGTGCAAGAAGGCGCAGCCGAAGGAGGTGATGCTGCCGGCCAATCTGGCCAAGACGCGGGCTGCCGGGCGCTCCGCATACGGTGAGTTGGTAGTCTGGGGTAGCAGCCACGCCCATTCGACGGCGGCCACGTCCGCCGCCGCCGCCGGTCTGCTGCCGAGTAGTTTAGCCGCTGCCGCCTCCGTGCTGCAGCAGCACCAGCAGCAGCAGCACCAACAGCAGCAGCAGCAACAACAACAGCAGCAGCAGCATCAGCATCACCAGCAGCTGCACCACACACACACCCATCCACACGCTCAGTCACCTGCCCACAACCACAGCCACGCCCACCACCACCCACACAGCCAGTTGTTGGGCTCACTGCGCTACACGCCCTATCCGCTGCCCGCCCATTTGTCAGCGGCAGCAGTTGTTGCCGCCCAGCAGCAACACCAGCAACAGCAGCAGCAGCAACAACAGCAGGCCGTGGCCGCCCAACAGCAGCAACAGCAGCAAAGTTTGGCCCAAGTGGTGGCCGCTGCCGCTGGTGCTGCACCGGGCCTGCTGCCGCTCGCCAATACCGCTCCGCCTGCCACGCCCTCTCTGCTGCAGTTCGCAGCCGGTCAGAGCAATGCCGCCCTGGCCAATTCGTTATACGCGGACGCGGCTGCCGTCGTCGGCTATAAGCGACTGCTGGCAGCGGCAGCGGTCAGCAGCGGTCTCCGCGCACCGCCGAGTACCGCTCTGGGCGCTTTGCAAGCGGCCGCCGCCAATGCACCCGCTGCCGCCGCCGCCGCCCAGCTACAGCAGGCCCAATTGCGCCAGAACGCCGCCCTGGCCGCCGCCCACTATCCGCTCAGCGAACTGCTGGCCATGCAGGGCGGCATGGAGATGGGCTCCGGCGCCAATTCCGCGGCGGCAGCGGCGGCCTCGCTGTACCAGCTGCCCGGAATCTGACCGCCCAGGCCACAGTGAGCCCTCTAATAAATAGATTAGCATTAATTTGCAAAACTTCAATCTTCAGTATCATTTGCCAGACTCACGAGCTCTCTTGACTTGGCACTCCCTTTGATCAGCTACCCAAGTTTAAAACATTTCCCAAAATATAAATCTTTAATATCTTATGATATAAGAACACCAAGCTAAATTCTCAATCTCGTTTCCGTTGATTTTCAAAGACTGACATCATAAATTCCATTACATTTCAAGCCCTTGATTTGGAAACTATAAATTGTTTCATCTAAAAACAATTTTTTTAAACACTTTAATTTTGGTGGCTTTGTTTGTCAAGATTGCCATTAAAATCAGATATTTAAAGATATAAACCAGTTTCTAACTCTTTAATACAATTAGAAATATATTTTAAAAGATCATTTAAGCGAAAATAATTCATTCATTGCAGAGCTATTTCTTAACTACTTCCACTATCTGATGATAGTTCAAGCTGGCACCCCTTATTACACAAAAAAACACACTTTCACTAAACACAACACACACTCGACTACACCTATATATATGACTCTCATTCCGTCTCAATGTCCAAAAAATATGTTAAGCGGCTAGGCCTAGGATTACGTGTACTTCTACTTACAATTAGCCATGTACTTACTTATGCCATATGTACTATATATCGTAACTTATATATTTTGTGACTGTCTAAGCTGCGTTTAGGCCACGCGGCGTATGCGTTATTTAACTAAATTACTAAATTACTTAAATAGCGGCGCATTCGTTTTCTTTCCTTAGCCATTAAGTGAACTTGACTTACTTAAGCTACATATATCTAGGTTAAGTGCAGGTCCTAGAGAGCTGCTTAGATCTTATCGAGGCCATCGATAAACTTAGACCTTAGACGGCGATCGTAATAATACTAACTTAATGTCTTAGACACCTGGCGACTTTTCTAGAACGTAAGAATGTAACAAAACCGAACGATGTTTCAAATTAAACAAGCAAAAAAGTCATCAGCTCCATAGGAAACACTCATTTATGTTTTAAAACGGATTCTCTTGTATATCGAACATTTACTTACAACTTACTTACGTAAACTCATATCTAATAGCTGTTCAAACCTAAAAAGGCGTATTTACCTAGACCCGCAGCCCAAAAGCGAATCGGATTCAAACCTAGCAAATGTATCGAATTAGCGATTAAGTTGGATTAAGTAAGCCAGCCGAAGGAGGCCAAGCAAGTACTAGAAATGCGATGTGTGTAACGAAGTTTAGTTTTGAAAAATTGATGACCGGACTGGGCAGATGCCAGCGTAGCGGCCGGACAGCTGTCGGAGTGTAATTTTCCGAAATGGATCATGGATAATGGATAACGGATGTGCAATGCACTCGGGCCAATTACAGGGCCCTGGCAAATTACGGCTCAGACAGCTGATGGCGATGCCCCAACTACTCGTCGTCTCCCAGTTCGAGTACTGATATACGTACAAACACATATTGTTTGCCCATAGCCATTAATATTTGACTAAACTCGAAACTAGCTATTTATTATACATGCATAAATAACCACATACACACATCTATTGCATTACGATAAGCGCATTAAGCGCTCAAATTCAAATTTCAAATTCAAATTCGAATCAAACTCAAATTCAAATTCAACTCTAGTTAAATCCAGTGTAACATTAGCCTAAGTTGCAACAATCGAGCGATGGTATAAACAGGAAACGAGCCCACATTCAGCCCTTCGATGCCCAAGATGAACGAACGACACAGAGAAATTGATGTGGAAAGGGCAGAGAAATGGCCGAGAAATGCTGGGAAAGCGAAGCGAAAGTGACCCCGGCCGAAGCAAAATTTATACAAACACTTTGATTAACCTCTAATAGCTGTTAACCTTCCTATATTCTCCCCTTCAGTTGTAGTGTTTATCTAGCCCACATATTTATAGTTTTGTGTGCGTTTAGTTCCGATTTGAATTTTTCTTCTTAAGTTCTCCTCATATATTAGTGGTGGTGAGGGGCAATGGCCTGGAGATATGGAGCATTTTTGTAGAAATGCACAACGGCAGGCCTTAGAATTGCCCCCCACTCGAAAGATTAAAATTAAACAAATTTATATATTAGCCAATTATTCAAATTTATACTCTTAGCATAGATACTAAATGTCTTAGATTATAACTACGTACATATCTAATAAGTGTTTAGAATTGTGTCATTTCTACGGTATATCGAACAAATGTAACTCTACTTATATAAACATAGCTCAAATCAAGGCTGTTATTGCAGAAAATGACTACAAAATGGGGCAGAATTTATTCCCCCACTAGTTATGCACTGAAAAAAAAGGAGTCGAGTGCAGTCGCAAAACATTTCTTAGAACTTAAAACATATAATAAATATTTAGTATGTAGCGGCAGTTTTTTAGTTGCCACTCACACTTTAATAGAACTTTAAGTACACAACGATTATAGTAAAGCAGTCGCTCATATTTACACTCTATAACAATTAGTCCTGATATAATCAATCCGATACTCTTTTGTTTGAATTCATTAGCTCTGATATAATCGTGTGAGTGTCAGTAATTATCTGTTTTATGCCTTTCTTTTCTGTGCTCTCTCTTGTTTTCCATGCGACTCCCTTAGATAACATCATGTGGGGACTGGGGACATTGCCCGAAGGTGAGAACTTGCAGTGAACTTAAATGTGATTAGCCAGAACTTAATATATGTATTTTCTATACTCTATTTTCCAATAGGTTTTCCGGCAGCTGCCTATGCTGCCTATGCCGCTGGTCGTGGATATTCGGGCTATCCCAGTTTTGGACTGCCCTATCCAACTGGTAAGTGCGAATTGCACCCACATAGACACAACCACAGGAACACCCACACCTACACCCACAACCACACACCTCAACCTGCACACATACTCGTACATCTCAGCCCCTGTTCATTATCTGTATGTGAGTGAGAGTGTGAAGCAACCCCAGTGACTAAAACCAACCATTACCCATTGAAAACCCCACCGAACCGAACAGTCTGTGCCACTTGATATGACGAAAGCGATAACAACCATTAGCATTATAAATTACTAACTCGGCTAGTACTCACAACGATTCGTTAGCCCTCGATGTTTTCGCTAGATACGTGTCTTTGTCCATCATCAGATACAATCTCTACAAACATCTATGTTTATTTCCGACTCGCTTGCCACACTCTTTATTATTTCTCTTCTGTCTTTGTGTTTGCTTTGCAGCGGGTGTGATGGGCGTAGTGCCGGAGAATCGGATACTGATTGGCGACTACTTGGCCTAGGACGATCCCCAGCCCAAATGACCATCTATCGAGTATTACTCAGAGTTCATGATCATTACTGAAATAAATCACTGTTTTCCAAAAAAAAAAATGAAAAATACCCAAGCGTTCGTCATATCAATGCACAAATAGCTGAAGATCGGAATCAATTGAACACACTCACACCATAAGCCACCGCATACGATATCTAGAATCCCCTAGAATATTGAGTCCTGCGCATCCTGCAGATGTATGTGACATATTGACGCTGCTTGGCCTTGAGTTTATCATTTGCCCACCACAGAACACACTGACCCCACACTGGCTACTAGGGCTTTTAGCTGATGTCAATTAAATCCCCGCCCCGAAACCCTCTGCCTGAGCTGGAACTGTAAAACAATCGATGCGGTTACCAAAAAAATCTATTGAAATATTTTTTCATTTATGTTATAGTTTTCTTGAGCAACATTTTTTATCAAACACAATATGGGTAAAGGAAGATGAAGATTCAAATGAAATGCATTTAAATACAATGTTTTTATAATCCAAAAACCATGGTTTCTTCCAATCAAAATAGTTTTAGTTAATTAAAACTAATAACAATGTTTTCACCAAGGTTATAAGTTATTTGATTGGAGGAAATTAATATTAAGCTCAAGCTTAAGACAATATTAACAGGATTATACATTATGATAAATTCTAGATTCAATCAAATGCTCTCATTTTCCTCTGACTCCTTTGCGTTCTGAGTTTTAGTAAACTCTACTTAACATAGTCGTTTTTATATGCTTCGGTATTGGCAATATATGCAACTTATCGCTAATGTACTGATATTCTTTCTGAGGTAAAATTACTAACTCAAAAATTTAATTATTCTGAGAATATATGTTTTCAAGCGAATTGCCATTTGTACTTAAGCCACTTGTGTTTTAAAGCTAGACTCTTAATTTACTTGTTAAACCTAATTCGTAGTCAATTTCCTATCGATAGTTTTACAGCTGTGAGCTGTGATGCAGACTGTACCTTTCTGTTTGCCCTCCTCTTTCTCTGTCTTTCTCTGTCTACCTCTGTCTTCATCTATCTTGTATCTCGTATGATTTTGTAGGCTTGACAATTTGCGGCATCGGTAGGAGTTATGGTACCGCTTGTAGCGCTGCCCCGGGACGCAGCAGAACTGCCCCGGCTGGCGCCGCCTCTGCTGTTGCGGCGGCGGGTGTTGCCCCCTCCGGTGGCGCCCCTGGCCACGCCCAGTCGGCGTACCACCAACAGGCGCTGACCCTGCCGCTGGCCACGGCGCTTACGGCTCGATCCGCGACCATCAAATCACAGTTTCTGGGCAACATAAATTTTTAAATGCGAACCGAAGTCTAAGATTGAGATTGAGAATGAGAATGAAAATGAGAATGCCAATGAGAATGCTAAAGAGAATGTGAGACCCAGAGTTGCGTTTTCATTGCCGCCCTTTTTGTGTGTCAAGTAACTATATCATTCGAACGGTGACAAGTAGGTACAGCCCTTACAAATGCAATGCCAACAGCAGCTGGAAGAGATATGCAACCCAGAGCGTTAGTTTAGCTTGTATCTACGGTAACTGGTAACCACTGCAACAACCAAAAAGTAAAATCCACTGCATAAAACACGGAAACACTCTAAAGTGGCGCTAAAAAAGCGAACAACTAACGAGAGATTTGAAAAGAACAACATAGAAAATGTAACTTCGACACACACACACACATACACAGACTTTTAGAGATGCAGTCCATATAGCTGACACACACAAACTAACGTACTAGACTCTCCCAAAAAGTATTCCCCATGTATTGTTGGAGCAGTTAACTAATTACCGCAGCAGTATCAGTAGTGTCTAGAGGCATCCCCAACTTGTACTACCTATAATTACGTATATCTATAGAGCAGCTAGCACCTGTAATAACCGATCCTAGAGCAGTTCCGTAATCGGATGTAATCGAGTAATTAGAATCGTATAGATCTAGGCCAGCATAATCACTCAAATACTCACAGACATGCGTACACACTTTAATATCTGTCTCTAGATCCCTAATTAGAAATGTGACACAATACTTGTATATCGAAACTTTATAGCGAAATATACTCGATCTTCATACGCTCCTCACCCACACTCAAAAGTACCATATAAATATAGTATATCCAGCTTTTTACACCCTGACCTGCGTCCATTCGTAACCCGATTCAGGGACGCATATCAATTATTTATAAAACTATTTTACCGTAGCATTTAAATGCAAATTTCATTTGTAGTCCCTGTATGCATAAATTAGTTGCTACCACCCCACATCAACGGCGAAAGTGCACATGGAAAAACATTTAGATAACAACAAATTTTAGCAGGCCTGTCACATGTAGTGCCATTATTATCCTTTAATTAATTTGCTGCACATTATGTATGCAATTTTTCCTTTTTCCACAGCGCTTTCCATTTCCATATCCATATCCATTTCCCAGTCCGTTTTTTTGTTTTTGCTTCCGTTGTTGTCGGTGGTCCCATGAGTTTTTAGATAATTAGCAAACGTGCAGAGATTTTTGCCATAGCTAAAGTTCATTAATTAGTAGATTTGTCCATTATCCGTAGCTGTGTTATTCCATTTTATATGTATTAGCAAACCGCATTTGGCCCACATACGAATTGAAGCCTTGAAGCATTCAAAACTATATAAATTCCTTCCTTCATCGGTGCATCGCAAGAATTCCAAAATGGCTAAAAACAACAAAATAAAACGAGCGAAATTTTCGACATTTCTATTTAAAGTACATATAGACATTACTATATACATACCTATATACTATACCTTATATACATGAATATTTATATATACATATTTAATATACGACGTTTACAAGCTAAGTTGAGTATTCATTTTATACGAAGGGTGAATCGATTGATTTGTACAATAACGAAAAATACAATATTAATGTCCATCCATTTTCGAAGAGCAACTTAGCAGCGCCTAAAAAAAAACAAACAAAAAACCAAAAATCAAAGACAACAAATCTCTCTTAAGTTGATGAAAAATGCAATTTTTCTATGTCTTCTCCATGTAAGTCTCACCCACACACTCACACACACCTAGCTTATTAAAAAACACACATTCTCGAACGTAATACAAAAAAAATCGGTCAATAAATCTATATAGATTGATAAGCTGTTACTTAGTTAATTGAATGCAATTATCGCAACACTGTGGCATCCGGATGCCCAGGAACTGCTTCGAGGTATTTTGCAACTATTTAAATTGACAATTACCAAACGCTTGCGAGTTATTTACAAAACCTATATAGCAGACACAGACACGAACACACACACCCACGCATATTCCAATATGTATTTTACACGTATATACTGTGATTTATATGAAAACGCTTCAAACGAGAAAAAGAATACCATTTGCTTGCGCAGAAACGATATCGAATTCGAAATGGAAAACGAAAGGTTATTAACTAAATAAATGCACAAAACTAAGATAAATAAAGTGAAAATAAAATAAATGCGGATGCAAAGCCGAAACCAAAAAACCCAAGCAAAAGTCTATCCTTTTGGGGCCTCAGGCATTGACTTCCATTCCCCGACTGTGAGCGATGCGATGCGAAGGGATTGGAATTGGAATTGACAGGGCCAAGTGAGTGACAAAGTGGCCATCGGGGCGTATGCGTAATATTCTGACAGCAACTTGGCAAGGACAACGCGGCAACAAGAGAAGCAGCAGCAACAACCAGAACAACAGCAACCACTCAAACACTGCTCAGTCAACAAGGTCAGCTAATGGTCGTCTTATAGTTCCAATGCATATTCGTACAAGCATTATACTCTTTTTATATACGTATATTCATCTTTATATTGAACCTATAACCGATTTTGGCTCCATATCCGAACAAATTTTTACATTTAACGATTATTAACTGTATGTTAACTGTTAGATGATAGAAAAGTTTTTTAGCAAAGAGCGCAATGAAAACATACATAAAATTGTAAACTGAATGCCCCACGTTGGGCGCCAGTCGTAGTTGAAAAACATTTATATTTCTGTGTAGTGTTCTTCTGTTTGAGAAACTTTGTTTTATACCAAATTTAAAACACATCAAAAACTAACAATACCAAATTAGCTCCAGCGGCGGAGAAATAGCATTTAATTCACCTAAAAAAGTGTAACATGTACCACCCTCATTAGTAGCGAACAGCTGTAACCATACAACATGTATAACCCCACATATATAAGTATCTATTTTTATGTATACTCTAGTTTTAATATAACTTCCCCTCCCCCGAAACAAAGAACCTTGTCCAAAGCCGTGTAGTATCGTGATCATG